CGTGATTTTTGGTGACTGCTGCCACAGTGAAAATCCTGAAGACTGTTACTTATTTGGTAACAACTATTTCAGGTCTAGTACCTAAAAATCTTCGTGGCATATGTGTGTGTGTGTGCTTGTTTTTCCTACCGCTTGTGTAGCTTAGCTAGCTGATTATCTACAAGTCTCTCTTGTGTGTGTTTGTGTGTGAGAGACGGAGAAGAGAGATGAGAGAGAGAGAGTGTGTGTGATGTGGTGATGTCACAGCTTTGTTATAGGAACAGAGAAGCCTTGTGTCCTCATGATTAATTCATGTCCAGCTGCGGGATAGAGACAGAAGCAGCCAGTCACACACAGACAGGAGCACGTACTTAAAGGAGGCTGAAATAAGTAACTACCGGTGCGGTAGCCAAGGAGACAGGAGAGACAGGTTGTGACAGAAATGGGTAACCATGGAGACGAGACGAAAAAAGCAGCAAGAAACGAACCAAGGGGGCTCTCATCATCGTCTGCGCTGTCTGACAAGCTTTCAGGCTGTACTGGGGAGGAGCAGAGCAGCCTGCTGAGAGAAGTGCATCTGTTGTGTGTGTGTGTGGCTCCTCTGCATCCTTCTCCAGCTACACTCTGAATGTCAAGCCCCACTGAACAGTACAGGCTCCAGGTCGTCATGGAGACAGGAGCAGACCCCCACTGGAACAGAGGCAGGTAGTCACTGGGGCTTGGCTGGCCTGCTGTGTGCTGAGGCACGCCCTCTGCCGTCCGCTGATAGCATCAGGCCCACGGGGGCTCGTAGAGCGTCTGAAGGTCTGAACGGCTTTGGATGTGAAACACTGTGGAAATGATCAGTGCACACAGTGCATTAGCTCTGGGGACGCACTCTCCTCGGTGGAGTGCTATATTTCAAGGCTTTGCTTTAGGCATGTTCTCTTTCTGCTGCAGAGGAGAGTGAGTGCATCTACTGTACATGGCCTGAACCAGAAATATCAAGTTTGCTGGGGGAGTGTTCCTACTATTTTCTTGTCTTTTTTTGTAGACTTGACTGCCTTTCAGAGCCTCACTCATCCTCTCTCCTGTCTCATTTCCTGCCTCTTTCAGATTCATACATCCCTTTTATCTCTTTTGCCCCTCTTCTCATCTCTCTTTCTTCTTCCTCCTCGCTCTGTCCCTGCTCCTTTCTACCCCTCACTGGCACTACCCCCCCCCCCCGTTGCTTTCCCAATCCCACTTCCTCTGATCTGTGTCCTCTCTCTGCCTCAATCCCAGATAATTCCCTCTCTGTGGAATTGGAAGATTGCAGCAGGCGAGAGCAAAAGAGAGATTATACTGCCAGATTAGTGGACAGGAGCAGCAATACATAATCTCGGCACACTCGATGACACACACAGTGTCACTCTCGATCTCATGCAGACACGTGGGCACACGTGCACAAAGCATTTGCCACATGAATAAATGCACAAGCACATAATCAGACACTTGTTTTTTCAGAAACAGCTGTTTAACCCTCTTGCTTTGCCCTCTGACCTGCAGGGTGATGTGCCATCAGCCACTGGGGGGCATCTGTCCTCTCTGCAACTTGTTCATCTTGTGAAGCTTATGGGATAGGAGTGTGTGTGCCCCTTCCCAACACTGCTGCCCCACTGGAGTCATTTGTGCCAAAGCTGAGTTGTGTCAAAGGAGCAGAGATGGGCAGCCCGGGCTGCGAGGTGGGTCTAGCCGGGCCGGTGGAACCAGCCTTGGAGTCTCTGTGTCCTGAGTGCGGCCAGATCCACCGCAGCTGGGAGAACCACCTTTACAACTACCGTCTGGAGGTGGACGATGACCTGGTGTGCCACATCTGCCTGCAGCCGCTGGTGCAGCCACTCGACACACCGTGCGGACACACCTTCTGCGCCCGCTGCCTGCGTAGCTTCCTCCAGGAGAGGGACTTCTGCCCGCTGGACAGGACACGGCTGCAGCTGCAGGCGTGCCGCAGATCCAGCATACTGGTGCACAAGCTGCTGGATAAGCTGTCTGTCTCCTGCCCTCTGACCCCAGTCTGCTCCCTCAGCATGCCACGATGCGACCTGGAGGCCCACCTCAAACACAGGTAATAAAGCTCACATGCAGACATGATAGATGAATGCTTTCATGAGTGCAAACACACACACACACACACACTCAGAGATCAAACTCTATGCCTGCATGACAACCAGGATTTCATAAGGCTTATACAGCTAAAGCAGCTTTATTGTATTGGAGTCAATCGGACAATTAACACCAGATAGGTAGGTACTAATGAGCTGAAAGGATTAGTCAATTAGTCGATTAGTCGATCAACAGAAAATGAATCTGCAATAGTTTAGATAATGATCTGATCTGATCTTTAAGTTATTTTATGAGCAAAATGCCAACAATTCATTGGTTGTAGCTTCTCAGGAGTGAATATTTCAGCCCAGTTTAGTTTAGTCTTCTATGGTTGTAAACTTGATACTCTTGGGTTTTGAATGGTTGGTTCAGATGAAACAAGAAATTCAACTTACCTTAGTTTGGGTTCTGGGAAACTGTAACAAGCATTTTCTTGCATTTTATGACATTTTATAGGCCAAACCATTCATCTATTACTGGAGAAAGTGATTGACAGATTAGTACATTATGAAAAGAATCTAGTTAGCTCTGTATAACTTTAAACTAAAGTTGCATTCAAACCCCTCTGTCCTCATGATTGGCTCCTTTTCTGGCAGGAACTTTTAGAGGTATCATAGCTCTTAGTTCAGACTCACCCACAATCCATAACCTCAAGAGTTTCCGTCCATCCACACACTTTGGCTTTTGGCCCATTTGGACCAGGTGCTGTGAGACCCTGAGGGGATTATTGGGCTGTAGGTCATGTGATGGGGGATTAGTGGTTCCCTACCGCAGTCATGGGTTGGCTGACCAGGAGCTCCATGTTCTCATTCTGCAATCATGCTGAGCAACTTCAACACCAGAGACCTTTTCAACCATTTCTTCTGTGAGACCGCCAAAGGCAACCCTGGCCTGTGGTGAGTCAAACAAGTCAGGATGTGAGGTCAGCCTGATGAGATGGCACAATGGCACCCTACTCTCACTGGTTCCTTCTGTCTTTCCTTCTGTCTGCCTCTCGATTTTCTTTCTTTCTTGCTTTCTCTTGCACTGAAATACAAGACAGTGCAGTGTGTCTGTGCACCAGAGTTGCTGTAGGAAGCCCAGGTTAGGTTGTTGTTGCTGTTTCATGGATGGAAGTAGTGTGAATGTTGCATGTGAGAGGATATCAAAATACATGTAGCAGTGCTCTAGACAGCATATAGTGATTTTACGTTGCTTGGTACAAATCTTTCAGTCAGAAGATGCTGTAAATGTGTAAAAAAAAAATTGTTATTGATTTAGGAACTTGATTTGATCTAGTTTTTTTTAAGATGTCTGCTGCTAAAGAGCCATCCATTGGTCTTATGGCGCCTGCTTATTGACTAGACATCCAGTGACCATCACACCTCAGTTAAGTCAAGAAGATTTCCCTTAACAAGCTCACACTAACAATCAATCACTAACAAGCTTCTGGATCAGCTGTTTTTACTGGAGACCCTCAGTTTTATGTCTTTAAAGAAGACTGAATGCTGAATGACAGCCACTGTATAATCTAAAATGGAGATGGACTGGATAATGGTAAGTTATAGAACATGGTGTATCCGTAGCATTGTTAAAGCAGATTGATAAAGTCAGCAAACTGACTTGGTTTATAATTTCGGTTACACATACCTGTCTAAATTTAGATAACGTTAGCTAATATTAGCCACCATAAGCTACTGATCACAAATCAGAGTTTAACAGCGAAACCCCAGAGTGTATTAAAGTGAGTAAGGGTGTGTTTGAAAGTTTATGTATATTTAACTTTTCATTTGATCATTTAAAAACACACATAGTCATGCTTTAAGTGTGTACAAGTCTAAAAGTCTTGTTTTGTCTTTTCAAAAACAAGAAAAGAACCATTTTCTGGTATTGTTTCTCTTCTAATCTTCTCCACTAAGGTTCAGGATTTCAAAGCTGCAGCCTATTTAAACTTTATTTGTGCAGGCCTTTTTATCATTCTTTTGACATTAGCAGAAGTGTACTCTTCAGTGAGGGTTGCACACATCATGTTGTGTCAAGAAGACAAGGAAAGATGCTTTAAGACAAATCAAACGAGGTCACTGTGTGCACAAACGTGACATTCTTTAGTAAAGATTAAACCTCGGTCCCACGTGGGGTTTTGCCTCTCCCCTACTCTGCAGACTTAGGTCTAAGATAGTAACAGGAGCCAAGACTGAGCTGTTGCTGTGCGACTTTGTCAGTCAACATTGTTTATGTTGAAGATAAGGGATCACTGGACATAAGATTAAAAGGCGAGAGTGCCAGGCCGCAGTGTTCTCAGTGGTCAAGGTGGGCTGGTTGATCTTATTACTGAGGTACTTTCACTGTTCCTGAACCAAAGTTTTCAAATTAAAGTTTCTACATGATCTTAACTTGTTCAGATTTTACATATTTGTTTAAGAACTTTACCCTTTTTTCTCTCAAAACTATTTCGTCTTGATGGTAAAGACTACAGGGCTAGATGTTGAAATTGAATTGAAATTGGTGTATGAATGCGTATGAATGTTAGTTTGTGATTAGTCATCCATCACTGTATGAATATGGGTGGTGAATGTGACATGTAGTGCAAAAGTGCTTTGAGTGTTTGGCAGATTAGGAAGGCGCTGTACAAGTAGAGTCCATTTAAGAAGTATTTAAATAAGTCAATCAGCTCATACTGTCACTGCCACTTATAGTATAGAAAGAGTCAATTAAGAGTAAGACCACACTGATCCCTCGGGTCTGTCTGTGTTTATTTTTAATTGTTTGTCAGTGAAGAGTTTCTATTTGTGGGATAGAAATTATGAATTCGTCTTAATCATATTTGTGTTTATTTTGATGGAAAGAAACATCACATTATTATTATTATTATTATTATTATTATTATTATTATTATTATTATTAACTTTGACTGGTTTCAGCTTCTCAAATATAAATATTGGTTGGGTTCCTCTGTTTTATATCATTGTAAAGTCTTTAGGTTGTATCATTGTGGACACTGGAAAATGGTGATGGACATTTTTCACTATTATCTATTACCTGATTTGTAGACATATAATTAATATATTTATAGTGCTGGTGGGAAATTAGTTGTCACAGCCTACATATTGGGAATCAACCAATATGGCTTTTTCAGGGCTGATACAGATACAGATTATTACTAATCAAGTAAACTGATAATCAGTAGTACCAAAACACATACTAATACTTTTACTTAAGTAATAATAAAAATCAGAATAAAAACGGGACTCACATGGAAAGCATACAAATACCCCAATATACACAGATACATTTATGCCCCACATATACTTATATATAATCTTTAGTGCAGCCCTACACCTAAAAAATATAAAGAAATGCAGCCATGGTCTCTGGTATTTTCTCTGAAGCCCTTCCAGCTACACGTGACCCTTCACTCTGACCTCCTCTAAGGAGGGGACACACAAAAAGAGACTTTCCCTGATGGGATCCATTGAATCACATTAAATTAACTGATGGTGAACCTGATTTTCTTTACACGTCAGATGGACTAACAAACTGACGCCTGTTGCTTGGTGAAAGGTGTCCCGGGACGCGGTGTCAGCAGACGAGCATGGACGGTCCTCGGTGTGAGAGCGGGGATGAGCGAGCGATGGTGACCAGCCCTCCCAGGTCTCCCAGCTCCCCACAGACAGACCTAAGGGACCGCACACCCTCTCCTCCCTCCGGACCTAATAACACCAGCGGCAATGGGCCCATGTGGACAGATGACGCCGGGCTGGACAACCCTGCCTTTGAGGAGAGCACGGAGGAAGACAGTGAGTTGACCCACTGGTCCGAAGTGAAGAGATTTAGATTGTCAATGAAGTCGAAACAGCTTAGACATAATGTATTGATAAGACACAGTAGAAATGGCATCCATCTCTTCATGACTTTAGGTGTGGTCGGGTTGGAGTGTGTGGTCCCCAGGGTAAAGCGGCCCCTCAGTAATCCCTGCATCCACCTCCTCCGCTCTGTCAGCTCCACCTCCTCCGGCTGGGACTGCCCTGAGTCTCCGCCTCTCTCTGCTGAAGAGGGTATGACATCACTTGCTCCTCCAGCATCTTCCTAAAGGGCTGAACACTAGAGATCTGAGAAACACTGGAGCTTATCTTTCTTGTTGTTGTAAGAGCTGTAATCTTAGACTGCGGGATAATCGCATATGCTAAAGGTTAGGAGGATGTGGAAATTGAATTCTGAAATACAGCTGTGTAATGTGATTTGTGTCTCCATTAAGGCTGTGTGAAGTTGCCCTCGCTTCCTGAAGGAGAGATAACTGCCATTGAGGTCCACCGGGCAAACCCGTATGTTGAGCTGGGCATCAGTGTTGTTGGGGGAAATGAGACGCCTCTCATCAACATTGTGATCCAGGAAGTGTACAGAGATGGGGTCATTGCACGAGACGGGAGGCTGCTCGCCGGGGATCAGATATTACAGGTAAGAGCCTCTGTAACAACCCCATTTTCATACGAGAAAGGAGCTTCCAATTAATAATTAGTGATTGTTTTCATTCAAGATCCATGTAAATAGTAGCTGTTATGGCAGACAATAGTATCAGTTTATAGTATATTGTATATTATATTAATTATTTACTACCTTTTGTAAGGATTTTTGAGTAGATTTCAAGAATTATTGTCTCTTATCATTTTTTTCTTTTCTATACAATGTTAAATATCTTGTTCACTTTCTCTTAAATTAAGTTTTTAATCCATATTTATTTATTTATAATGGATCACATAACTACTTGTATGGGAAAAGAGTCACTCATACTGACAAATGCACCCAGCCCTGCAGTTCCCCTCTACTCTAAGGAGCATTTTTAGCTCATTTGTTTGTTTTAAGGCACACAACTTTACTGTTTTGGTTCACTCTCACCGCTTCCATCAATCAAATTTCCAGCCCCAGCGGTGAGAGAGCTCCCTGCCCAGCACTGAAAGGCAGACAGACAAAGTTAGAGACTAGCTGGTGAACATAATGGAGCATTTAGCAGCTGATGGAGACCAATACAGAGGAGAGATATTCGGAGAGTGAATATTGGACACCAAATGAATGCAAATGTTGCTCTGT